GGAATTGTCTAGAAAGGGGCTTCTCCAGGTCCGCCATCCTTGTGTAGGGCTTACACCAGCCTCGGGTTCAGGCAGTGGCTCCCCCTGCAGCCACTCAGCTGGGATCCTTGGACCAGAGACCTGGCCTCTCTGCACCTCGGTTCTCCCAACCGTTTGATGGGGGGATTAATGTCTGTGTCATGGGGTGGCTGTCACGTGTAAATCAGTGAGCACAGAAGCACGGAGAATGATAACGCCTGACACGCACCCAACAAATGCCCTCAGGGTGGTGGGATCGGTGGGAGGTGACAGGCAAGTTTTTACAGATTGACAGCGATTTGTGGCAACCCTGCATCAAACAAGTCTCTTAGTGTCCTTTTTCCAGCAACAGTTCCTCACTGTGTGTCTCTGTCATTTCGGTAATGCTTGATTTCTAACTTTTTATTACTTTTTAAAATAAATATTCAAATACTTCAAATAATAGATACTACATTTGTTCTAAAGATCTGTGATCCGTGACCTTTGATGTGACCTTGGCAAAAAGACAGTTCAGGGAAGGCTCAGGTGATGGTTAGCATTTTGTAGGAATAAAAAATTTTTTTAATTAAGGCATGCGCATTTTTTTTTTTTTTACAATACTATCATATGCTCACTCGGGTTTGATCCCTGGGTTAGGAAGGTCCCCTGGAGAAGGGGATGGCAATGCACTCCAGTGTTCTTGCCTGGAGAATCCCGTGGACAGAGGAGCCTGGCGCACCACAGTCCATGGGTCGCAAAGAGTCGGACATGACTGAGTGACTTCACTTTCAAGCACATTACAGCTCCACCTCAGGTCATCAGGCATTAGAGTCTCACAGGAAGCAAGCCACCTAGATCCCTCGCATACAGAGTTCACCACAGGGTCCGAGCTCCTCTGGGAATCTAACGTGGCCACTGATCTGACAGGAGGCAGCACTCAGGTGGCAATGCGGGTGATGGGGGGCAGTTATAAACACAGATGAAGCTTCGCTCACTTGTCTGCTGCTCACCAGCCATGCAGCCTGGTTCCTAACAGGCCACGGACCGGACCGCTACCAGTTTGGGGGTGGGGTGCCCTGATTCTACACCTCAGACAGGTCCCAGGGCCCCCGCGGAACAGCGCAGTTCAAGGACGGACACAGTGACCTCCCCAGGCTCTCTGCCAGACATCCGAACAGGCTCTGTTTGCCCCGGTGAGAAGGGTGACGGTTAAGAACGTGCTCTGTCAAGTTTTCACCCCATCATTAGTGTCTTCCCTGATGTGTGTGTCTCCGGCAAAGCACTCTCCAGATGGATTTGCACCTGTGTCTCGTGAGCCATGGGACCACTTCCCTAGACCAGCAGGACGTCCCCTTAACTTCCGGCCATGGCCTGCAAGGCCGCAGGCCACTATCATGGCTGCACCTCACCTGCTGGACGGCTAGGCCAAAGTGCCCACAGGGCTGCTCTAGCCAGGAGCCAGCCTGCCACCTCCCACTCCCCTGGCCTTTTGCCCCTACCCTGTCCCCCATTCCTCCATGTCCAGGGTCTCAGAGTGTCCCCAGAAAGTCACATCCACCGAAAGCTCAGAGTGTGACCTTATCTAGAAGTAGGGTCTTTGCAGATGTAATTGACTTGAAGTCTGTGTGTGTGCTCAGTCGCTCAGTTGTGCCCGACTCTGCGATCCCATGGACTGTAGCCCACCAGGCTCCTCTGTCCATGGGATTCTCCAGGCAAGAACACTGGAGTGGGTTGCCCTGCCCTTCTCCAGGGGATCTTCCCAACCCAAGGATCAAACCTGAATCTTCCGCAGTAACTGCACTGATAGGCAGATTCTTTGCCACTGTGCCACCAGGGGTGGACCTAATCCTGTGACTGGTGTCCTCAGAAGACAGCCACGTGGACACACAGGAAAGAAGGCCACGGGGCGACAGAGGCAGATTTCAGTGGCATCTACGAGCCAAGGAAAGGCAAGGCGTGAAGCCACAAGCCAAGAGGGAGCCCGGAACACACTCCTCCCAGAGCCTTTGGGAGCGTGCCCACAGAGACCTTGATTTCAGACCTTCAGCGTCCAGGACTGGGGGAGGATGGTTTCTTGGTTTTAAGCCACCCGGTTTGTGGTTATTTTTTACACCAGCCCTGGGAACCCGCGCATCTGGGCCTCGCTGACCCCAGGACACCTGGGCGTGGTTTTGGCTCAAGGTTTCTGCCAAGATTTCCTTTGAAGAATGTGTCCTGCTCCTATAAATAAAACCTCACCTGCCCTGGGGCCCTCCTGTTACAGGGGGTTCTCCCGGTGCTTGGCCTGTATTTCTGTGATCTGCTTCACTTCAGAATCAGGCCCAGAGACGTTTGGTTGGATCTGTTCTGCAGGCAGCAACAGCCACACCAGGAGTCAGGGGTGAAGGCCACATGAAGGTCCTGGAATTCCTGGGACCACTTCAGTCTGCTCCTTCGTGGGCCGTCTGTCTGGCCTCCAGCCGTCACTTACCTGTTAAAACGCACCTTGATCCCTTCAAGGTCAAAGTGCTCTTTCGGACACAGTGGCGGCGGATCCGCAGAGCTGCTGTCACTGCACTGCGGGCTGGCGCCCCGCGTGGGAAGGTCCCCTGAGGTTCCTCTGTGCCCCTTGTGTGCAGAACTCGCCTCCAGGACTACACGCGGTGAGCGTGTAGACTCAGGACCTTGTGAGTAACACCCAGAGAGTGCCGCTGCCCTTGGGTGGTTTTGTGATGGAGTCTGGGGTCTGGGGTCAGTGAGAGCAGAGCAGTCCAGGGAGGATTTATTAAAGGGTAGGTGGGTCAGTCTGGGCTGCACAGTGACCTCGGCCCTGTGTATGCATTGGGAGCACGCGAGCGCTTTGAAAATGTGCTGCTGAATCTCCGGGTGGGACCGTGTTAGTCCAAAGCCTCCCCGGGCGGTTGTCGTCGGCATCCAGGGTGGGGAAACTTTCAAGGGGAGCCCCCTGGGGGCCAGGGGTGCGGGGGGTGGCCATGGGCTGGAGGTTGGGAGGTGGAGACTGAAATGGAAGGGCAGGAGCCAGAGAGGAGAGGCGGAAACACATGACCTGGCAGCTCGGTTTTAAAGGAAAAGGAAGAGGATAAATAACAATGTTAGTAACAGTAGCCCTCATCGGGAACCGTGGTTCTCAGAGGGGTGGTACTGGGGACACATGGCAGTCAGTGCCTAGAGTTGGGTCTTTAGGGGAGATGCTCCCAGCTTCTGGGGGTGGGGGCCAAGGATGCTGCCAGAAGTCCTGCAGCGGGCAGCCCCTCCCGTCCCCACCCACACACACACACAGAGTGGTCCCATCCAAAGTGTTTCTAGCATCAACAGCAGGAAGCCCTGACTTGGGGAGAGAGCGCCTGCTGGCTCTTACTAAGCGCTCAGCATGAACCAGCCGGCTTTATCCACACACTTGGAAGAGGCAGAGAGCGTGTCATCCCCATATTATAGATGGACAAGGGGAGGCACCAGGGAGTTGAGTTCTGCTTGCCAAGGGCTTCCCTGCCTGGAACCAAGGGACATGGCGGATTAAAGAGAGCTCACCAAACGTGAGAAGGTAGTGACTTTGGTTTCGAGTACACGCCAACGCTTCCGAGTGGAAACGCAGAGAATTTGTGAGTGGGTTTGAGCCCCTGGCACATTGCTGTCTGGGGACATCTGTGCTGGGCCAGCTGGCTTTCATCTCCAGGCACAGTGATGACCAGGAACGGTCCTCACAGAGCATCTACTGTGTGCTCACGTGTCAAGCCAGATTTTACTCTTTTCTGCTGCAGGTGATACAAATAGAGCCTCAGAGAGGTTAAGTAATGTGTCCAAGGGCACAGAGCTAGAGCTGCTGGTCACACTCCAGTCTGACTCCAAAGCCTCTTGTTCCCTTCTTTGTACAGTGTATCACCTTAGTTTAGTCCCGGCTGCAGGCCAGGAGGAGGAGGAAGAAGATGGTGATAAAAGGATCAGGTGAGGAAACTACATGCTACAAGAGCAAGCAGAGCCTCGGAAGAGAGCTGGGCTGGAGGGGAGGGTTCCGAGCCTGGTAACTGCAGTGTCTTTACCTTTGTGAGGCCGCCGGAAACAACCTGCTTATCTCCCAGGCTGCAGAGAGGGTTGGCCCACAAGAGAAGATGAGCTTTTGTCTGGAAACAGATGTTTCCAGAATAGCCTTTTCCCTGCCCTGGTCTTTTCCAGAATGATTGCTTCTGGAGGAATCAGTGAAGCTGGGGTTCGGTTTGTGCCAGGAGACACAAGTGTAAGTTAGTTGCTCAGTCGTGCCTGGCTCTTCGTGACCCCGTGGACCGCAGCCCACCAAGCTCCTGTGTCCATGAGATTTCCCAGGCAAGGATACTGGAGTGGGTCGCCGTTTCCTTCTTCAGGGGATCCTCCAAACCCAGGGATCAAACCCAGGTCCCCTGTAATGCACGCAGATTCTTTACCGACTGAGCTACAAGGGAAGCCAGGAGACACAGCACACCCCTAAATGCCGGTCCTCCGGGCCATCTGGCCGGCAGACCTCTGCATTCCCGTGGGCCTGTCGTTCTCACCAGCCTCTCTCCTCGACTGCAGGCCCCTCGCACCTTTGTTGTGTTTTGAGCTGGGCTGTCTTGCCCGCTCTGTCCCTGGGAGACCGGGGGGCCCCCCTGAAGCCTAATCTCTTGCCCTCAGCTGCTTTCCCACTCAGCTTCTACCAGCTGCAGGAAATTTCTAGCCAAGGTTTTGCTTCTGTGCTGTGACTACGTCGGGTGTCTTTTGTGTTACTGAGGATTTGCTCATCTTGTGCGTGTCCTGCTGCAGACTGGCTGGACTCCCCCACGGGGAGCCGCACATCACGGAGGTGGAGCCCTCTGGCCTGAAGGGTCTCCCTGGTCCTCCCTGTAGCTTAGGGGACACAGGCCTGCTTTGTCCTCCCCCCGACCCCTAATTTCTGATGGTTCCGTCGTGTTCTTGGTGAGTGGAAGAAGTTCAGAGTGCACCAGAATCGTGCTGCAACTTGCTTGTTATCCAGCCCGCACATACTTGGTTACCGCAGAGCAGTGTCTCCGCAAGGCCTGTGAGGTGGCAAGGTTTTCCGCAGAAACACTCCGGGTCTGCGGGTGCCGTTCTCCACCAACATCTGACTCTGCCTTCGGGAATGTGGGGTGAGCAGCGGTTCAGTCGATGGCCCGGGAGTTTGGGGTCTTAGAAAGAACGTTCCAGAGGTGTGGAGGTTAGGCCACACTTTGCAGAGGCTGGACCTCTGTTCTGGGACTTGACCCTCATTTGCTTCTTGAGTTCCGGTTGTGTCAGCTGGGACAAAGAGGGGGCTGGAAAAGAGGAATTCCTGGGAGGCAGGAGGCCATGCCAGCTGAGGACTGCGAGGGTCTGAGACGGTGGATCTGTGTCCACACCCCCAGGAGGCTGTGTGACCTTCCTGGGGTCCCCAGAGCACACTGTCACAACACAACAGAGCTTCCTCTCGCAGCTCTGGAGGCCTGAGGCTCAGGACTCGGGTGGCGGCAAGGCTGGGTCCTTCTGAGGCCCAAGGGAGAAGCGTCCTGGGCCCCTCTCCTGGGTTTGTGGACGGCCGCCTCCTCCCCACATCTCCACGCCACCTTCCCTCTGTGTCCAGTGTCCCCGTTTTGTAAGGACACCTGTCATATTGCACGGGGACCCGCCCTCATCGCTTTATCTGAACTTGGCCACCTACAAAGACATTATTTCCAGATAAGGTTGTGTTGGCAGGTAGCGGAGGTTGGCACTTCAGCGTTGTCGGCAGGGGACATAGTTCAGTTTGTAACCTGAGGGTAGGAGAAAGGCGTGAACATGAGTGACTGCTCAGGACTGCTCCCCCTGGCCTGGTGGTTTTTAGGTTTTAGCCAGGAGATGCTTGCTCAAGTGCCTGACCTCAACCCTGTGGCTGGGCCTTAAATAGCTCAAGGTAATGGAAGTAAGGTGCAGTGATATTAAACCCTCACTACACACAACCCACAGTTGTAGTAACTAGCAGTAGAGGTAGAATTTATGAAGTGATCAGCAGTTTATAAAGAAAGTCTACTTCCTCATTTAATAAAGCTTTTACCAGCTGGGCTTCCTTGGGCTTCCCTGTGGCTCAGACGGTAAAGAATCCGCCTGCAAAGCAGGAGACCCGGGTTTGAGCCCTGAGTCGGGAAGATCCCCTGGAGAAGAAAAGCACTCCAGTGTTCTTACCTGGAGAATCCCATGGTCACAGGAGTCTGGCAGGCTACAGTCCATGGGACGAGATACAGCCAGACACGACAGCAACTGCACACACGCATGTGCACACACGCACACGTGCACGCGCACATACACACATGCACACACCCTGTTCTGGCACTCATTTTTAAATAAACAGACCAGCCATGTTTCTGGAGGAAAAGATAAAATAGTAAAAAGGTGTCAGTTCTCACGAGTGCTATGCCAGCAAAAACCAAAGCCCAGTGGGGTTAATTTTTTTGAAGGAATGAAAAGGTGGGAAAGACATATTACTAAATTATTCTGAAGTTCATTTGGAAGAAAAAAAAATAGGTAAAAATAACTGATGGGAGGCTTTGAAATAGAGCGAGTCGTGGAGGCTAGTCCTCCCAGATGGCCGACTGTGGTAAAACTCCCGGAGTTACATAAGGACTGGTGTTGTGATAGAAATACGCAGACTCACGACACAGAGTCAAGCAGATTCAAAGCCTGGTATCTGCACATTTAAAAAGCACCAAGGACATCACGGAGACGACAGATTGTGCAGGACTGATGAAGGAGTAATTGCCTGGCTGTTTGCTAATTAATTTTGTGAAGTTCCTCTCTGAGCAGCCAAATAGATTCTTTGTACATTAATGTCAGTCCACACACTATTTTTTTTTAAATAGAGGAAAATAGATGTGAATGTTTATCAAGTTTTTCAATGAAGGGAGGCTTCTCTGAGCTTCAGTGTGAAATCACAAAGGAAAGATTGACAGGGTTAGGTAATTGAGAGTTCATTCAGCTAGCAAATGGATTCATGTGTGCGAGCAACAGTGGGGAAGCTATTTGTAACTGATACGACATTTCCTGGAGAAGGAAGTGGCAATGCACTCCAGTATTCTTGCCTGGGAAATCCCATGGACAGAGGAGCCTGGAGGGCTACCGTCCCTGGGGTTGCAAAGAGTCCAATGCAACTGGACAACAAATGAAATTTTACAATGTAATCAAGCAAAGGAAGCATCATGATAGTTGTGAAGCAGCAAACAAGATGTAATCAACATTTAAAAATTTTCTGATTGATGGTTTCAAAGGAATGTGGAGTTAAACTTGGTATTTCATTGCTCAGTTGTCAGATAAGCAAAGCTTTTCTTGAACCTCCGTCAGAAGGGTGGGAAGGAATGTCCACTGCTGTTGGGAGGGTAACTCTCTAAGCTTTCCAGGAAAGCGTTTGGCAACGCCTCGTACTGTACTAGAAAGTCATCTCACGAGAATGATCCAAAGTTTGGAGATAAAGATGGTCACCACCCTGCCGTTTGTAGACGCAGAAAGCGGGGAGCCTGCAAGCAACCGCAGGTCAGGGTGTTCCCCCCTCCACGGACCTGGAAACAGGCCCGTGAGTCCTTTGTGCCCAAGGACACTGCAGCCCAAGCTCCCTTGTGTGGCATCTTTGGTGATGACTCCCCGTCGGGAACAATTCTGCACTTGGTTCCAGTCTGTGTGGGGACTCCCCCCCCCCCACCACCACCACCAGCTCTCAGACTTGGGCTGGGAGTCCTGCAGTGCGGCTCAGTTTGGACATCTCTAGCCCAGCTCCCCCAGGCCGAGGGCTCAGACATCAGACTGCTGCCACCGCCCACCGCAGATGCCAATCACAGGTCCAGGTTGGCACCTGTGCTTCTGACCAGATGGCTGTAGATTGCAGTTTCCCATGATCCCCTCCTTGGGTCTACTTAATTTGCTAGAGAGGCTCACGGAACTCAAACATTTTACTAACAGGGTTAGTATACCAGGATATAACTCAGGAACATCCAGACGGAAGAGCTGCCTAAAGCAAGGTATGGAGAAAGGGGAGGCGGGGTTTCCACTCCCTCTCCTAGCACCCCCGCCCCAAGTCTCCACGTGGTCACCAGCCCTGAAGCCTTCAGAGCTCCAGCCTTGGGTTTCTACAGAGGGCTTATGGAGAAAGGGAAAGTGTTAGTTGCTCAGTCATGTCCAACTCTTTGCGACCCTATGCACTGTAGCCCACCAGGCTCCTCTGTCCATGGGATTCTCCAGGCAAGAATACTGGAGTGGGTAGCCATTCCCTTCTCCAGGGGATCTTCCTGACTCAGGGATCGAACCTGCATCTCCTGCATTGGCAGGAAGATTCTTTACTGTGAGTCACTAGGGAAGCACATATGTGTATAAAATAAATCACACTATCACAAATCGGATAGCCTGTGTTTCCCAGTTAGTAGAATCATGAGGCCAGGAGGAATAGGAACTCATGGAGCTAGAATTGGGAAGGCTGGCTTTAGATCAACCGGGATTAATGAATGCATCATTCTAGATGCTCAGTCAAGTGTTTGAAAGTGTAATCAGCTTGGCAGATGGCATACTGTTGTTATACATACCCAGAAAATGGTCTTGCAAGGCTGGAAATGACCTGCTGGAATCATGGTGTTTGGAAAGGAGGATGGAAATTTATTTTATAAAATGTGTGTGTGTGTTTTAATTACAAAAAGTAGAAAATTTAAGAGAAAAATAAAGAACTAAATGATCCATATGCTTGCCACATGGACATAATCACTGTCAGCATTCAGTGTGAAATTGACTCTTCTTTTTCTAGCAAGTACACATTTCTAAGAACGAATTATTGTAATATTTGTGGGTTTCATTTTTCTCAAAGTTCTATTGTGTGAATTTTCCATTCTTTTGAGTATTAGAAAATTAATTTTAACAGCTGCATAAACCCAGGCTGGAGTTAGAACACCCTCAGGCCACATGTTAAATAATTGTTTCTGTACCTGCCAAAGGAGAAGGGGGTGGCAGAGGATGAGATGGTTGGGTGGCATCACTGACTCAATGGACGTAAACTTGAGCAAACACTGGGAGTTGGCGATGGGCAGGGAGGCCTGGCGTGCTGCAGTCCATGGGGTCACAAAGAGTCGGACATGACTTAGCAAGCTGCTGAACAACAGGAACACATCTGTATCACTGTAAACAGCAATGTGCAGAAGCCGCTGGGCCTACAGCTTTGATCTCCTAAGGACAGAGAGGCTGAGAGGCAGTGGAATGGGAGCAGGAATAAGAATCCTGTCCTCTCTCCTTCCCTTAGTAAATACTGTTGAAGTATCAAGACTGGCGATTGGTTTATTGCCCAGGATATCTCAACTAGTCACGGGCACGGTAGGTTTTCTGTAAAGAAATTCATTCATTCCTTGAGTTTCATCTGTTGCTTACTATGCCAGATGCTGGATATTTGATAAACAGGTGAATAAAACTGACACAGTTCCCTTCGGTCCTGGGGAGGGCCTGGCTGAGAGGCAGCAGTAAACCGGTCGTCTGAGCACTGACCCCTTGGTCCTCAGGAGTCAGTCCTCAGGTGGCCTGTCTTCCCAAGCTCATGGACAGGCTCTGTGGGGTTGGTGTCAGCCACACATTGTATTTGCTGGTTGTTCTCAGCGGTGCCTCCTGGTGGGTGTGGCCCTATTCTCTACCTGCTCATCACCCTCTTCCCACCCCCATCCCTGTGGTTTCTGCAGTCCTCCCCTGTCTTCCAGTCCTGCCCCATCTTCACTTGAACTTGAACCTCAGATGTGGCACGTGTAATATATACTAGAAAAGATTTATCAGTCTAAGGAAGACCTTTTTTAAAAAAAGGAAAAAAAAAAGCTAGAAGCTTCCTTTTTAAAGCTATAGCCTTTAAAATAACTTTTTTTGACTAAGCTTACATTGTTAGAAAGTAGGTTGGTTTAAAGAGAGGTGTTAAATAATTTGATTTTTTTTTTTTCTAAAGGAAAAGAGTAAATCAGAGACTGATGCTTGGAAACCACAAGTCCTCCCAGTACTGATGTTTTACAGTTTGATTGACTGTGTCAGATGAGAGTCAAGAATCTGAATCTCCCTCCCTCCAGCCCATCAAGTGAATGGGCCTCTCTTCTCATCTCTGTTATAACATCTTCAGAGA